GATGGGGGGCCGGAGCGGGGTGGGCTGGGGGTAGGGAGCGGGGAGGGGGGGTTGGGAGTCGGGCTGGGGGTCAGGAGCTGGGCTGGCCGGGCCAGGCGTGCTCACATACCGTTTGGCTTTCATCTTCCCTTCTGTCGGCGGGCTTGTCTGTCTGGGAGGCTGCTTTCCTCCTAGGCACAGGAAGGAAGGAGGTTCAGATCGGCTCCCTCAAGTTTTCTCACTGACTTAGAAAACCTCCGTGCCTCCATGCTGGACGCACCTAGTCCTCAGATGCCCCTGATATGGGACTTGGTGCCTGTTTCACACGGAGGCGGCGGCCTGTCTAGGCACCCATCGGGCCTGGAGCCGGGACCACGCCCTGAGTGTCTAAGCCTTCCACGCACAGTCCACAACCTGGTACTGGCCGTGGCAAAACCAGTTGGGGCAGAGAAGGCTGGGCCTGGGTGCTCCTACCTGCCTGCTGGCCTGGGGACTGTCCCGGAACCTTGTCTCCTGGGGCCTGGCCTGGCTGAGTGGCTACTGTACTCCCAGGGCATGCCAGGCCTGCTACATGGGGCTGGAGGGGCTGCTCTGGGTTGCGAGTCCCCATCGCCAGGCTGACTGGTGCAGCCAGCAGGCCTGCCACCTGCTCTGTCACCCTAAAGTCCTCCTCTTTTGGAACACAGGCCACGCAGCCACGGCCGGCCGGGCTGGACCACCGTGGAAGCTGCAGGAGCTCAGGGAAAGGAAGGTGGCTCCTGTGCTCACCACTTCCCGTGGGCTGGAGCCCCCTTCGTACTCTCCAACGCCTCATTGGGTTTTTGACCCCAGTGGTCGTTACATCTGGCTCATCCCAGTCCACACGTGGGCCCTTGATCCCCATAAAAGTGTACCCCTGTGAACCTGTAACTGAGACCACCAGAGCACACGGCGATCAGCATCCCCAAGGGGCTGCCCAAGGTGTGCGACTGCCTGACTCGCAGGGAGCTGCCCCGATGGCCGGGGCCCACACGACCTCTCCCCTGCTGGCCTAGCTGCCCAGCCCAGAAACCGAGCAGCCGTCCCTGACACCCGCTTGGTGTAACAGTAAGCCCAGCCAGCCCTGCGTCTGAGTTTTATCCCAGTTGATCTTTCTCCTATTCACTTTCACCCCTCAGGACAAGCCACCCTCACCTCGTCCCAGACTCCAGGTCTCCTTTCTGGTCTACCTCTGGCACCCCGGCCCATACTCATTTCCTACCCAGTACCTAGGGATTAGCCTCTTAAAAATATAAAGTGAAGGGACCAGCAGTTAGCGTAATGGCTATGTTGCTGGACTCCCATGTAGTCAACTGCGGTTCACGTCCTGGACCCAGTGGCTTAAACTCACGCCGGGCGCGTGTGCATGTGTGCCCAAGATCCCGAGAGGAGAATGGAGGAGAAGGGATTGCGGCATGACCATCCCCCCTGGGGGGTGATTTCTTGCTTTCTGTCTCTCTGTCTGGTGAGCGCACACGCCCTATAGCAGAAACCTCTCCCCCCAAAAGAATTAAAAATAAAAATAATAAAGTGGACTGGGGCCGGTAGGTGGCATGGTGGTTAAAGTGCTGCACTCCCACCTGGCCGACCGTGGTTCAAGTCCTGGACCTGCTGGCTTGAAACTCACATCAGGTGCATGTGTGTGTGTGTGCCCTAAGTCCCGGGGGAGAATGGGGAAGACTGCAGTGCGGCTTTCCTCTGGTGGTGACTTCTCACTTCCCTCTGTCTTTAGTGAGCACACACGCCTTATGGCAAAAACGTTTAAATGTGTGTGTGTGTGTGTGTGTATATGTACACACATATATATACTTTTGTGGCCTACATATATAACATAAATACAGAGAGCGCGCACCAAGCCATCCTGTCCGAGGAGACCAGTGAGATGCGCTGAATGGAGCTCGTGCGTGTGCCCGGCCTGGGGAGCATGCGCCCTCCTGCGCCTCACCACCACGCCTGCCCCCAAAGGCAGGGACGCACCGGCAAGCACCTCCCTGGAAAGCAGCAGCTCACGGGGCACTCTGGGACGCGCTCAGCGCCGCGCCGAGGGCCTGCGGGGAGACGCAGTGTGCACGTGCCCAGGGCACCGGGTGTCCGTCTGTCCCTGGCAGGGCCCTGTGCTTCCGGCTCCTGCTCTTGAAGAAAAAGCAGCTCCCTCCCCGTTTGGCCCATACCATCTGGGTCAAACTGCTCGTGCTAACTCACTGGTTTTGGACTTGGGGAAGAGGTTAGCATCTTCCCAAGAATGTTTTCTGTGTGGCTCCCTTCCTGAGGGCCAGAGGTAGGGCCCAGCTAAGAGCCCAGCCTCCCTCCTCTGCTTTCGGTGCAGTTCCCAGGGCACAGGGCTTCTCTGCCTTTCCAGAGACACCACCCACCACATCTCTGCTGCCCTTCCTGAGAGACACTCTCCTCTCCTGGCTCTGCCCAGAGAATCAGGCCGCGCACACGTGGAACCTCCTCTGTGAAGCCCTCCTGGCTCTCTCCCGCAGCAGCTGCTCCCACTTTTGCAAGGCCACCGTTGACCCCTCCCTGTGTCTCGAGTTCTTGCTGTGTGAACACTGCCTCCCACCCCCTCACCCCTGCCATAGGGTGTGTGAGCTCACTGGATAGCGTGAGAAAGAGAGAGAGGGAGAGGAAAAGCGAGAAGTCACGTCCTAGGGAAAACGCACTCCCTTCTCCATCCTCCTCCTGAGACTTTGGGCACGCACACACACGCACACGCATGTTTCTCAGGCCACTAGGTCCAGGACTCGAACTGGTTAGCTGACTATGTGGGAGCCAGTGCCTAACTGCCATGCCACCTGCTGGCCCTGAACCCTGTTTTTGGGATGTTTTTGTTTTTTGGGGGTGTAGTTTTTGCTAAAGGGAGCATGTACTTGGCAGAGAAAGAGAGAGGGGGAAAGTGAGAAATCACCCCCTGGTGGATGGCTGCGCTGCAACCCTGTCACCTCTTCTCCTCTGGAGATTTCTGGCATGTGCATACGCAAGTACCTGGCGTTATTTTCAAGCTGCCGGGTCTGGGAATCGAACCACACAGCTTGCCATGTGGGACCCAATGCCTTAACTTCCACATCACCTGGTGGACCCCTGAATACTGCTGTAATTCTTGGTGTTTATGCATGCCAGGCTCAGGGGGTGGCTTGGGAGAGCCCTGAGCTGTGGACTGGCCTCCCCACTCACTGACTCCTGGCAGGTGCCCTCCGAGCTGTCCCTGCTGCATGTAGAGCCTTCTGCAGGAAGCCTGGCTGTGCCCTGCTGGCACCCCTGTGTCGGCATATTCTCGATGCCAGGCCCCATCTAAAAGTAAAAGCCCTGTGTGGTCCCTCCACCTGCCTGGCCCCTCCACCTGCCTGGCTTCCCACTGAGGAACAGGCTGCTGGCCCTGGCAGATGGAATGGAGGTGCCCTGAGCCCACCATGACGCATGCAGTGTGTGAGGGGGCTGTTCTGGTCTCAGGGCTGGTGTCCTTGCCTGAGTCCTGCATGGTGAGGACAGAGTGGCCTCACAGTCTCAGCAGAACCGGCCTGTGCCTGCTCCACCGACTGCGCCTGCTCCCTGCCCCCGCCTGGAACGCCATGCCCACACTGCCCTGGTGGGCTGCACACGGCTGGTGTTTGCTAGGTGCTGTTGGGAAGGTTCAACTTCAGTGAAGGACTGAGAGTTCCGAGGACGCCTGGCTTGATGTCTCAGACTGGGCCCTTAAGTGGGAAATTTAAGGAGCGGTTTCCCCCTTGGTGAGCCCTGGGTGACAAAGGATGACGTGCCCAGCAAGGGCTCTGGGGCTAGGCCAAGGGACGGGAGCAGGCCCGGGGAGCGGGGACCCACCTCTTGGCCAGCAGTTTGTTCATTTCCTCCATGAGGCCGCCTCCTCCCCCGCTGCTGGCCCGGTTGGCGTCAGACTTCGAGGTCCCACTGGGGCTGGAACCTCCAGATGCATCTTCTGGCTGAGGGTAAAGAGGCCACGTGTCAGACTGGAGGAGGGGGAGGAGGCAGCAGCTCCTCGAGGGGGTGGGGGGCTGTGCGTGTACGTGTGGCCCCCTACAATGGCAGTGTGACAAGAGATCTCAAGGCACACCCAGTCCTGTGGCCCCCATCCCCAGGTGAGAGGACCAGCGTCCAGGGACTGGGCCTGCCTGGCTCCCAGGGGCTGGGGCACTGCTTGGCCCAAGCTTTCATGGTCCGAGTCGGTGAGACCCACGAGGCAGAAGCAGAGGGGAGGCGATTCGTGGGAGGCAAACTAGTAAGGCCACAGGTGGGCGTGAGAGGCGCTCTCCTCCATGTCCCCCGGCCTCACTCCAGGACAGGCACGTGGCCGGGGGCGGGGCTGAGCCCAGGGCCCGGTGCCGAGGTGTGACTAAAGCACCCTGTGTGCAGCAGTGCCACAGCTCCTCGCTCAGGGCCAGCTGCAGGGCGGGCGAAGCCACGAGAAGTGTCCAGGAGAAGGTGGGCCCCGTGCCGTGCCCGCCCCGTGCCCAGGGACTCTCACCCGCTGGACTCTCCTCAGCTTGGCCCCGGACAGGGCAGCAGCCAGTCCTGACACGGAGCTCTCATCGTGGCTGGACCCCTGGGCTCCTCCGGCTGGCAGGGGGGGTGGGGGAGGTGGGGTGGCCCCAGTGGGTGGAGGCGGGACTGGGGGTGGGGGTGGGGGCGGAATTATGAGTGGCCTGCTCCTCGGAGGGACAGCAATGGTTCTAGGCCTGCCTCTTCCAGGAAGCCCCTCTGGGAAGAACTTGGCCCGCTACAGATATTCCCTATCCTGGCCGCCTCTGTGTTGTGGCCAGCGGTGTCCCCTCAGTGTGGCCAGATTGCTTGGCCCCCCTCGGGCTCGGCTGACTTCTCTGGCTCCAGCCACGTCCCAGAGGAGAGGAAGCCCCCCAGGGCGTGGGCTGTGGCCGTCTCCTCCAAGCACTGGCACCGCAGAAGCTGCTCAGGGTGCAAGTGGCCGCTGTGCTGGGGACTGGCAGGTCCCAGGGTTCCGGCACACGGGCCAGGAGCAAGCTGAGTGCTGGCTCTGGGGTGGGGGCGGCCCATGGCCCACTGTCCCTCCCTTCCCCAGCCCCACGGGACGGGCCACGCATTGGGGAGAGACAGCCAGGGCACTGTGCCGTGTGCTCTGCTCAGGGCACCATGGGGTCCGATGACCAGGCGCCCACGGGAGGGCAGCCGTGGGACTGTCGGTGACGTGCTGCAAGGGCCCGCAGGGCAGCTGGGCCGGGCCAGAGGTTCGCGGAGGGGATGGCGGGCTGGAACGGGGCAGGGGAAGAGTTCTGGTAGGCAAGGGGGTGAACAGGAGGAAGGAGCAAGAGGATGGCAGTGCCTGGAGGCACAGGAGAGAGAGAGAGAGAGAGAGAGAGAGATGCAGTGAGAGCACGGGGCGGGGGGAAGCTGGCCGAGGGACAGGGAGGGGTGGCAGGGTCAGACCTGCACCAGGAGCACTGGGCTCGGGCCGTGAGGGCGCCCACAGCTCCTAGGGTAGCATCAGGGCAGGGCACCCATAACCAGCGGGGGCTCCTTGGTAATGCGGGGTGGCATTCACCTGCTTATTGCCCAGGGCAGTTGAGAAAAGTCAGCAAGACAAAGGATGAAAGCCCTTGGAAGCCCTGCCCCATGCAGTTTTCTATAAAACCCCTTTGTTCCTCCAGGGTGCCAAGTTTCATGCCAAGTGGCTGACTGTGGCTTAGCAACACCTCCTCCAGGAAGTCTTCCGTGATCCAGGTGGACGGGTCTCCTGTGTGCCGACGCTGGCTCCCTCGTCTGCCTGGCTAGACCTGGGCCCTGGGGCCCCGTCTGCCATGTGCAGGTTCTGTCCCTGTCCTCAGGGTGCTGGTGGTGCTGCAGGTCTCTCGGAAGGTGTGCAAGGCCATGCGGGATGGGGGCTGCCTGAACTGAGTCGCTCCCCAAGCCCCTGCCCCAGAGCCCGCCACAGTGGGAGGGCCTCGTCCTAGTGGGGGCTCTCACCTGTGGCCGAGGTCCTTCTCTCGAGAGACTCCTGACGCTGCTGCTGCTGCTCCATCACTTGTCTGGAAGGCAAGCAAGCCAGGCGGCCTGACTTCGCACTCCCTGTCCACACTCAGGTCGCCCGCACTCCCCAAGAGCCCGCTTCACAGAAGAGGGGATGGAGTGCCTCAGGTTCCCGATGGGGCAGAGCTGGTGGCACCCCAGTCTCGGCACATGGCACGGGAAGCCCTTCACAGAAGGCTGGGGGGCCTCAGGAACACCAGGCTGGGTTGTCAGTCACTGGGCTAAGCTCCTGGGACAGCACTCAGGTCCTGCTGGTGGTCAGGACAAGGGGACAGGAAGGCCCCAAGTCTCTGATCTTTCCCGCGGCCCAGCACAGGCCTGGCCTCCTTTCAGAGGGCCACCTGAGTGAGGACACTGACCCAACGGGCACCACAGGATGAGGGCCGAGATGGCAGTGCAGGGGGACCTTCAGGCCTCACCTAGGGATAGCAGCACTCCTGCAGCAAGCACGGGCCCAGGTGTGTGCTCGGCTAGCTCTGGGCCCGCTGGGAGACCCGGCCATGGCCGGGAAGTAAGAAGTGTGGGTTGTGGGCCGTGTAAGCCATGCTCTGCAGGGAGCTTGGGAGCCTCTGGTGCCTGGCGCCGTGTCTGGCACACACAGACTCTTAGTAAGTGCCTTCTGCAGGTGAGGAAGTGACCCCTCCATGCAAGAAGCCACTCCAGGCTTTGTGACAGGGCGAGTCACACCCTCCCCTGAGCCCCGATTCTTCTCTGTAGAGCAGGCACAGTGCCCCGTTTTGCGAGGCCCTCCTCAGGGGCATGCCCGACACCCCGAGATGTAGGAGGAGCTTAGCAGGCACTGAAGGTGTCCGAGACGCTCCTGACAGCAGCCACTTCGGCCTCTCCTTCCAATTTGCTGAGTATCACCCAACGTGACAACCTCCCCCGCAGGTCACACGCATAGAAGTCTGCAGTACAAGGGTGTCTGAAAACTGCTTAAAAATTGGTCTTAGGATATTTGTGTCAAAAGAGAAAGTCTCCTGTGCTTGGAGTCACCACCGCACCAGGAGGCCCTGAGCCAGGCAACTCTCTCTGAGGGGGTGAGGCGCCCAGGGGTCTCTCCTGTGGGGTTTGGCGCTGGCAGTTCACAGTCTGCCACCAGGGGGCGCTCTGGTTTATGGCCCTGCTCTCTGCAGCGCTGGGCCTCACACACCTGAACTTGGCCTTGGGTAAGAGAAGGCACAGGGCAGTGCTGTGGGTGTTTAACAAGTTCCGAGAGAACCGCTGCAGGGTCTGCTTAGCTGTATGTCTGTACCTCATGCCTGGCGGGGGCTCCCTTGGCAATGCCCCTCCCAGGTAGCCATGCCCTTGGGACCTGCAGTGAGCAGCAGCGGCCGGGCTTCCCCGCCAGTCGTGGTCTTGCCTCCAGCTTCCTAGTTACTTTGGGCAGGGCATTCCCGCTCTCAGAGCTCTAGGTGGGAAACGGTAACTCCTGAGCTGAGCGTGTGGACTGAGACAAGACAATGCACACGATGCATTGGTAAGCTGCGAGTGCCATGTCCCCGAGGAGCTGGGAGGCCTACGTAGTCACACGCTCTTACAAACAGAAGCACTGGCAGCAGGTGCCATCCCTGGCCTCGAGGGCGGGCGCAGAGACTTGGCCCGCATCATGAAGTAGAATGTGGAAGTAGACATGGACCTATCATGGTGGTGGGACCGCCCTGGAGACCCTAGGCCTGTGAAGCTAACTGTGCAGCTGCAAGATGGAAAGACTTCAGACGCGAGACTCGCTGGGCCAACAGGCCTGGGACAGGTGAGGCTGCCCGAGCTGTGGAGGCCCGACCTCTCAGTGCCCATGGAGTTCCTGGGACTGTCCTCGTGGGGATGCTTCAGGCTTCTCTCCTTGTGGAATGGAGTTCCTGCCCGTGCCTGTCCCCCTGTTTGGGAGCCTGTGACCTGTTTTCCAGGCTTGTGGCTGGAAGGTTTTGCCGGAAGTCTCAGATGGAACTGTGGTCTTTGGAGTCGGTGGTAAAATGAGCTAAGATTTTCAGGATGAATTGGGAGGAATTTATGAGAGAAGTACATGTGTTTCGGAGTCCAGGGGCAGGATGCTATAGCATGCACATGGTCCCCCAAATTCATATGTTGAGCTATTGTAAAGGGATTGAGAGGGAGAAAACTTGATTTGCTAGTGTTGTCAAAGGTGGGACCTTGGAGTCAAATAAAGGATGAGGTGGGAGCCCATGACTGGGTCCGATTTCCAAGAGAGGGGAGATCAGGACGGAGTCTTGTGGACACAGCCACTCCGCTCTGCTCCGGCCTCCCGACGTGGCCGGGACTGTGAGATGCCCACCAGACACGTCCCTGGGCGGTGGGCCTCCACACCTCAGGAGCTGGGGGAGCCGCTCTTTATAGATCACCCAGTTTCAGGTATTTTCCATTATTTGCAACAAAACAGACTAGAATGCTCCTTCTTTCATTCGTCAGCACGAGGGAGAGGTCAGGGAAGGAAGGTAGTGGGAGGGCCCTCAGCAGCCCTCTATGGGCGGGATGGAGGACGCCTCCCCGAGTCCTGGCTCGGACCTGGCACTGCGCCGCTCCCCGTGAGAGCTGGATGGGACAGCTGGGCCAGGCCAAGCCTCCCTTGTCACAGCCCCACAGACCCGAGACTCAAAGCCTTATCAGAGGGGAGCACCGTCAGACAGATGGCAGATCTGGGTTTGAGTCCTGGCTCTGGCATTTCTGGTCAGTGCAGCCCTGGGGAGGCTGCTCCACTACGAGCCACCATGTCCCCCTCTGTAATTTCAGGCAGCCACACGGGCCCTCCTTCCTGGTGCCAACACTTGGGAAGCTCTCTCAGGGCCCAAACTGCACCTGCAGACGCGTCCTCCTGCACAGGCTTAGTGCCTCTGTGTCGTAACTACCTCCTCATAGAGCGGCTCCCAGCCCCCAGGCCAACAATGGTACCAGTCCCCCACCCGTGGTACCAGTCCGTGGCCTGCTAGCCCTGGGGCCGCACAGCAGGAGGTGAGCAGCTGGAAGCAAGCCGAGCTTCACCCCTGGTCTTGATGTCTGGGCAAGTGGTCGTGCACCCGCTCCCTCTTCCCTTCTGGTCTGGCGTGTTCCCCACCCCATGTGTGCCTCTGGGAGCACTGGACCTAGCTGTGGGTGTGTTGTCGCCCACTGAGGGGAGCCCTGGCCACCAGGTGCTCCTGGGGAGGCTGCCAGGCCGGCCCTGCTGGGTGCGGGTTACCTTCTCTGGATGTCCATCTCGTCAGGAGAGGGGCCATTCTGCACCTGGCGCTGGCTGGAGGGGCCTGTGGACAGAGGAGCACAAGGCACAGTGTTAGCAGAGGCCAGGAGGCCCGGCAGACCACCCGGGAACTGTGTCTGTCTCCTGCCGAGGAAGAGGTACAGCGGCCCGCCAATG